AATTACTACATTGTTATATATCTTATTACAGCATATTACAAAAAATGGCAAACCCCTGAGCGCGGTACATATATTACATATAAGTAGAATGAACGATTAGCAACATGAAACATATGCAAAATGTAATTACAAAACAATCTAAAGATACTTAAAAAATGGTACCAAGCTCGATAATATGTTGATTTCTATACTCACATTACTTGTTGTTGACGTTAGTTTAGCTTGGTGGACCTCGTAGACAACGTTCGCGTCTGTTGTATAGTTACCTTATAGCGTATGAATGACCACCCGTAGCATTTGTAACATAGTATTATTAAATTACCATATCTATATTTAGTTTGAATACCAGAGTAATATTTTATTCAGCGAGTCGCTATTTTTTAAATTCTTTGCAGCTGGTTCTTCAAATGTCATTTTTTTTAATTTTCCTTGTAACATTAAATTTAACAATGTACTGTAGATTTTACTTCCTAAATATTGCTATGGAGTTCTCATGGGATAATATAATGCAATATATTCAAAACAACAATAAGCTGATTGATGGAGAACGACACCGATTTATTTAGTGATCAGATATTGTTTACTTTACGAGTACAAGCACTGTGGGTATTGTGACGTCAAAATGTATGGCTACCACAATACAGAATACTGGAGTAGATATGGCATATCTGTATAGACTCCACATGCATTTGTTGTCTGTCAGTCAATTGTGAAATGTGATTGAAATGTTGGTAGATTTGATGGCAAATGTCATCTACCAAAACCAGTAGTTGTATATTAGAATACCGAACTATAAGTCGAATGAACGCAATCCCGATACATAAGTAGACGGCCATACAAACTGAATCTACAAATATACAGAATTGCGTGCAAAGTTGTATAAAGTTGCAAGTTAGGTTTGTAAATTTGGTCTATGTGGTCGTCTTTTCGAACATTGTATTGGAAAGCTCGAAAAGCCTCATAGACGAGAGTCAAATTGTCGTCTGAAGCAAGTGATGTCATAGGTCAAACCCGAAACACTACATTTGGAATTAATATATATTTTGAATCATTTCGAAATTATGAAGCAGTTCATCATGCCTAAGTGGTTCTATTGTTACGTGTGTGTGTTGTTAAGCTTCATCGTGTGTGGCAAGTACTTGCATGGTAGATCACCTGACCGAATCATCCAGCACAACTATTTTTTTTGATTTTGTGACAGACATTTAAATTATTTATTTCAATTTAGTATATCTTATTTACGATTGTGAAGACGAACAATTGTGTATATCACTATAAAAAATGCCTGTAATATCTAAAGGAATTCATAACTTTGCACGTAATTTCAATAAAAACTCGATAACGGTAGACAAAAAACGTGGCATTAATCTGTTGCAATCTTGCTGAAAAGTTTTCAAAAGTAATTAGAAAGTGGGCAGATTTGATTGCAAATGCGTTTATCCTACTTAAACCGCAGTTAATTGTTCTATAAGTTATTGAAAGTAAAAGCTCCATAAATGTTTCAAGACTGTATAAAGAACTGAACGCAACATGTAAGGAAATAGCGAACAAAGTTGTGAAAAGCGTTTGAAAAATTGCCAACTTTGTTTTTAAATTTTACTTAAGTAGTTGTATTTTCGAAACTAGTAGTGAAAAGTCCAGTTCTTCATAGCTGTATTGCTCTCTTGTCAAGTGTTAAGCTTCATCGGGAGTGGTGAGTACTTGCATGGGAGACCACTTGACCAAATCACCTAGCGAAACCTTTTTTTTATTTTGTGTCACACATTAAAATTATTTTTCAATTTAGTATATCTTAAATGTGACTGTGAAGGCGAAGTATTTTGTAGAATAATATAAAAAGTGCTTTTAATATCCAAAGAAATATATATTTTTTCACGTAATTACAATAAAAATCCCGCTAACTGTAGTTATGACTCATTGCATTCACAGTGTTGAAATAATAGTGAAATGTTTTACATCCCATTATGTAATATGTAAAAGTATATATCTTTAGATTGGATTGACATTTCCAATACCATTGACACATGTCTTGTTTTAACCCAATTATTAGACAAAACAAAACTGATAACATTTGATATATTTATCTGGAAAGGTAACCGAAATAATTAGATGCTTTGGAGAAACATGGCTATTATGATGAATTGAGTTAACCATGCCACGGAATGCATTGTCAAAAACAGTGTGACATTTTTGTGGTAGCGAAATAATTGTTATGATTTGCATTACAACATCATCTAAGTGCATTTGAGATATATGTTGACTTGCCATCAGAATATATTGTTACCCTACTATTGTTATGTAAAAGGTAATAGGAACACTGATGTGCAATAATGAGCAGATAACCAAACTGTTCCGTAAAAATAACACACACTTTTGTTAACACTTTAACACTTTTTTTAAGTTCAAGATGTATGACCAATATACATAAATGTAAATACCGCCTCTAGTAAGACAGCCATGATTCAGGGAGTACTTCATATAACTGAACAATCATTCCTCCGATATGAACAATCAGCAATAAAAACATTACTTTAAGCGCGAAAAGGTCACAGGTCACATTACGAAAGACCTAAGTGTAAACGAATGTAATTTTGAAACATTTGCAAACATAACATGGCCGTCAATTCGAAGTGAATTCAAATGACGCTAATAGGCGATTGGTCAGGTGATCGATCTGTAAAAAAGTTACGATTACTTTGGCGTGCGAGTAAATGGATGGGAGACTACTTGAGCAAACCAGGTGGTGAAATACTTTTTTTGCTTTCATCACAAATATGAAAACTACATAAAGCATTTTTTAAATTTATTAATGTGATTTCGCAAAATTACAGTAAAAAGTCGTGCTGATTATTTTGGTATTTTACGTTTATATTTTCAGAGTTCATGAAGTCGGCACATAATGGATGGAAGCTATTAAAACAACGTGCAAAGTTGTGAAAATGAGTGTAAAATTGGTAGATTTGCTTGTATATTTGAACTAAGTTGTTGTCATATCTAACCCTGAAGTTATAAAGTAGGAAAAGTGAATAAAATCAAAGTGAAAGTCCCGTATATTAGCAGAGTGCCAAATGAGCTGACCATAACATGTTCTAAACAGCCTAAAATGATATAAAAGCATTTAAAAAGTTGGAGGGTTTGCTATTATATTTGATCTAAGTCATTTTTATATCGACCCCGCAGTTAAACGTATGGAAACATGAGCAAATATGTTGGAAAAGCTCTTATATTAGCAGATTATACCACTAGCAAAGCGTAAAATGTTAAACAAACTGCTTACAAAATTGTGAAAAGTGATTGTAAAATTAGCGAATTTACATGGAAATGATACCAATGTTGCTATATTAAAATTTCGAACAAGTGAATAAATATGTCGTAAATGATCGTTTATTACCGTACTAAGTCCTAAAGCTCGTAGAGGCCATAGGTCAAAGTACAAAGAAATGCAATTTTGGAACATTTCCAAACATTTAATTGCCGCCAATTCGAACCAATTTCAAATTACCCTAAAGGCCTAGGAGTCAGGTGGTCGACCTGTGAAAAAAGTTATGATTAATCGGGCGTGGCTAGTAATTGCATTGAAGACTACCTGACTAATCGAGCAGGTGAAATACTTTTGTTGCTTTCGTCACAAATATGAAAACTACATAAATCATTTTTTTTTATTATTGTGATATCACACATTTACAGTAGAAAGTCGTATTGATTAATTTGATATTTTAAGTTTGATGATTTTCAATGTACAACTAGTTTTTCGGTCGGCACATAATAAATGTAAGCTATAAAAAAAACAGCGTGCAAAAAGTGTGTACAATGTTGGTAGTTCTGCGTGTATATTTGAACAAGGTGTTGTCATATCTAACTGTGAAGTTATAAAGTAGGAAAAGTGTATACAAAACAAGTAAAAGTCCCGTATCTTAGCAGAGTGCCAAATGAGCTGACAGAAACATGTGAAAATCATACGAAAAGTTGGAAGGTTTACTAATATATTTGACCTAAGTCATTGTTATATCGACTTCACAGTTAGAAATATTGATAAAAATGAGCAAATTTTATGAAAAATCACTTCTATCAAAAGATTATACCACTATCAAAGCGTAAAATGATAAACAAACTGCTTTTAAAGTTGTGAAAAGTTATTGCAAAATTGGCAAATTTACATGGAAGTGTGACCTATGAAGTTTTATCGAGACTTATCGTTTTGTGGGGGGAATTGAGAGTAGGGTTTCAAACTTATCTCAACCCTAACGAGCGTAAAGTTCAAGGCGCGTAAAACAAGGGACGGTCGATCAAAAGAACAGGAAACAAATAAACGATATCAAGAAACTGCTTTTATTATCTCGTCACTGGAAAAGGTTACATGTACTCGCGCGCTAAAACAAGTATTCAGGCCTTTTATAGGCTCGGTAGGATCAGCCACCGTAACAAATTTTAGCGGGCTTGGTGCTGATTGGTTCATAGTGCTATGACCTATGATTGGCTAATAAGAGAATAGCATTTGAAATGGCGTCTGCTATCATTATTTGTGCTTGTTCTCTTCGAGATAAACATGCAATAAAGACGGTTGAATTGAATAAACACAATAACAATACAAGAATAAACTGAAACACAATTGAATAATATTGAATCAATAATACAAACGACTATCACAGTAATAATTAGGGAAATAATAGTGGATTATTCTCCCTCTCATCGACATACTTGGGGGCGGCGAAAAAGATACCTTGATATATTATTGATCTCAATAAAAAATGCTAATCTCAATAAAGAATGTTAATCAATGAAATGATGTCTCAATTATTCGATGTCTTGTGATAATAATCACCGAAGATAACATGCATAGAACACAGTGGAATAACAAGGTAGGTATTATGCAACTATGGTCAATGATGCGTTCATCATCATGAAATGAAAGTCAATAGCATTGTTGCTATTCGAAATAATGTCAAACGTTACTTGAGACAGGAAGGTAGCAATTAATCCAAAGGACAGTAAGTAATCCATTAATGGGTTGTGGGTTTACGTTGAGCTTCAACAAAGGATTGCCTTCGTGGCCGTATAGATTGCGTTGTGTCAGGAGTAAGTTCAACAGCTGTATTGTTTATCATCTTTGGCGAGCCTGATCTGTAAGAACGCCTTCTCAATGTCGCTGACGAGTGCGACTGGGTTTGAAACCGCAGAAGTATGGCGGTGAGATCATTAAGGAGCGGAGGGCCGGTATCCAGGCAGTTATTCAACGAAGGGAAATGGTTTCCAAGTTTTGCCGAACAGTCATAAACGATGCGTATCGGAGAGGACGCGGATTCGGGGCGTTTAACTGCTCGATGTGGTAAGTAATGTCCTTTGTTTACATCATCCACGTGTACGGGTTCAATATAATTCTTACTCAGCTGGTCATGAATGACCTTGTCGTACGCGGCCAACACGTTGCTTGGCAACTGTCCAACTATGCATCGAGTGCGCGTCTTGGACATCTCGTAGTTTGTTGGAAGTGGCTCATGATTAGTTTTCCACGGTAGTTGAGCGACGAATTTTCCATCTACTTCTTGTAGGCAATTTTCAGAATATTGCTGAAATTGTTCATTCGCGGTAGGCTTCGTCGTGGGCTGGTTTATCACATCACCTATTCCTACCGTTTCTATATAAATCCCAGTAGGAGTTGATCGAAGTGTCCAGGCGTTCTGCAGTTGATTGCGCGGTGATGTGAAATGTTCGAACGGAGTTCGTGGATCGTA